GGGCGGGGCTTGATGTGGGCGGGGCTTGATGTGGGCGGGGCTTGATGGGGGTTGTGTGGTCTGCAGTGTTTCCCGGCAGCGTGGAGTGATCCCCAGTCAGGTGTTTGAGCTGGAGGACGGCAGCAGCAGCTATAAGGACTTCGCCATGACCAGGAACAACCGCTTCAGCAACGCTGGCCAAGCCTCCAAGAACATCATCCAGCCTCCGTCCGCTGTTCTGCACTACTACAACGCCCCGCCATGCACGTCTCAGGACCAGCTGCTGAAGGTGTGGACACATATCTGACCCCCTCTGCTTCCTTCTGAACACACAATACCTCCTCATGGAAAAAAAACACACCGTCTGTTCATTTAACTGGAGGTGGTGTTAGCATGGTTAACAGGGTTAGTACTGTATGGTTAGCATGGTTAACAGGATTAACATGGTTTACAGGGTTAGCAGGGTTAGCATGGTTTACAGGGTTAGCATGGTTAGCAGAGTTAGCATGATTAACAGGGTTAACATGGTTAGTAGGGTTAACATGGTTAACATGGTTAGCAGGGTTAACATGGTTAACAGGATTAGCATGGTTAACAGGGTTAGCATGGTTTACAGGGTTAGCATGGTTAATATGGTTAACAGGATTAGTATGGTTAGCAGAATTAACATGGTTAACAGGGTTAGCATGGTTTACAGGGTTAGCATGGTTAGCAGAATTAACATGGTTAACAGGGTTAGCATGGTTAGCAGAGTTAACATGATTAACAGGGTTAACATTGTTAGCAGGGTTAGCATGGTTTACAGGCAGGGATAAAGTACTGGAGTAGAGGAATCTTGATATGCTTTTTCAGATTATATTGGGAATTTTTGAAGGCCATGATTTCGCAATATTTCGGGAGGCTTTTTTTTACAGGCAATGCTTGCTCACTCAAATCCCCAGAGCAGTTCTGGGTTTGCTAACGTGTTTATGAATGACTGTTTCAGCTCTGCGCAGAGCATGATGTGCCTGGCTTCGTCAAATTCAAGATCTTTGATGCCAAACGTAAGTGGAAATGCTACGGTATTCGTTTTAAGTTTCAGCACTGATGGGTGAAGCTGAGCATCGTGTTTGGTTGACATCTGTCTTTCAGCCTCCTCCAAAACCATTTCTGGCTTACTGGAGTTCAAGAGCAAAACAGAGGCCCTGGAGGTTCTCACCATTCTCAACCACTACCAGATAAGGATACTCAGTAAGTCTGTCCACTCTCCAAAATGGCCGCCACAGCCCTAAACAGGTGACCCATCCTTTGTCTCATGCTTACACTGACAAACTCATCCATGATTCTGGCTGTTAGCACCTTTACCGACCCAGCTACCTGTTTACTTCATGGCTTTAATCGACCATTTCTGTATGGTCCGGCTGACTATGAGGAGATGTCATGTGGTGTTTTCTATATTGTGTTTGACTATACAATACAGAATTCACACACAAACCAAGTTCTTGAGAAAGATTAACGCAAAGCCTATGAAGTTTGACCTAGTTTTATGTTTGGATTAGTTCAGTAACATGCAG